AAGAAGGGTCAGGGAAATAGAGAAAGGCAAAAAAAAAGTCTCTGCTTAATAAAAATAGAAGCAGGCATTAGCCAAGAGAAGGATGTTAGGAACATAGAAGATTGTATGAGATCTTAAAGTGACAGTAGTGAAATCGATGTAAGCAAAATCAAGTAAATGTGAGAAACGGAATAAAATCTGTTGATCTGCTTTTTAAAGTGGAATCAAAATAATAGAGTACAGTAAAAGGAAAAATAGTAAAATGCAAAGGCAAAGCTTAAAAAATAAAAAATTTAAAAGCCACAAAACCAACGTAGCTTCTAAGTTCTTCACTGTTGGAGCCTGCAAGGTAGGAAAGAGTAGTTAATTAAAACAGAAAATGCTTTCTCCTATTCAACCGGTACTTAGGATGGGAGTGATTGACTTCTAGAGGCTAATGCAGAACTACAATTATTTTTCAAGGGATCCTGTTCTTTGCATCTCAAGGGCCCTATTGGACACCTTGTTGAGTAGTCCAGCAAAGGCTGTCAGTACACCGGAGAGGCTGAGAAGTTGCTCTGTCTGTCACCCTAGTGCTAAAGGCTGGAAAGATTCCCAGGGAAACTGCTGATTCTCAATCCTCATTGGGAAGCCAAAAAATCAGATTCCAGTCTTAACTCAGGAAGCAAGGGCAACAAGAGGGTGGCCCGTACCAGCTAGGGGCAATGATCAGCAGCCAAATACCGTGCTGCATTTCCCTCAGACCACTTTCAGTGTGGGCTGCCAGAATGTACTGCCAACCCGTAGGCATACCAAACACTCTCTCTATTAAGTGGTCCCAGACACATTCAAGGTTACAACCAAGATCAACCATCACAAAGGTTTTCTCCCATCACAACGGTTTTCTCCCATGTCCACAAAAGAAGGAAAAACTTCCTGTTCCTTGCCTAGTTAGGTCTCAAAGCTGGGGAAAATGGGTAAATAGAATACCTATTAACATATCAAAGCTGATTCTGGCTGCCAGGTTCTCCCAGCATCCCTCAGTCTCTACCTGTTACAGAGTCTTCCTGGCTGGCATACCCCAATTTATCCAGCCCACATGGGGCTGGGTTATCTATCTCTTCAGTGCTCTTCCCTAAATAACCTCAGCCATTTTGGCTACTGCTCCTTTTGGCCTTTTGGCCTGCTGGCCTCTTGGCTGCCACTCCAGGTTCCTTTCTCTTCCTTTCCTCTCTCTACTTCCCCTTCTCTTCACATGGCTCAGCTCAGTTGGCCAGTCATGGTTAGTCTGGAGCCTTTTAGGTGCCTCTGGCTCTGCTCTCCCTCATATCTACAATAAACCTTCTTCTCTACCATGCCTGGGAAAAGTCATGTCCTTGTTTTATTTCTGTTTTCTTTTTCATTCACTCATGACATGCATGGTTTAATGCATTCATGCATTCATGCTTTTGATCAATCTGAGTAAATATGTACAAACTATGTCATTAATAAAATATGTGTAGAACAAACAAGTCCCCTTAGAACTCTGTGGTAGAGAACCATACACAATTGAGATAATATATGGCTACTTTGCTACCGATTATATAAGGATGGAATATAAGCCCATGACAAGACTCTCATCATCATCAGCCTTCAAGGTGATACAAATTGAAACCACGATGAGTTGTTACTGCACACCTGTCCATACTTACCATCCTGCATCTACCCAGCTGTGTTCTGCTCTTTGACACATCTGTCACACATTTCCTTAAGTGTCCATGCATAAACATCCATGGCGTTCAGTGAATTCTTGACCCAGTTAAAAAAAATTAGTTTCCTTTATTGTTTATATGTATGGATTGTTTTTCCTGTATGTATGTCTCTGTGTCATATACCTACATGCAGTTCCAGCAGATATCAGAATAGGATTGAGATTCCCCTGGAACTGTAGTTACAGATGGTTGTGCTCTGATGTATGGGGAATAGGCACTGAACCTAGGTCTTCGTCAAGAGCATCAAGTCCTCTTGAATGCTGAACTATCTCATAAATCCTCTTGTCACATTCTACACATCACAGGCACTTTCAAAAAGCCCTTAGTAATTGAAACATTTAATATGGACAGACTCTTATACATGTCCATAGGAAACCACAAAGTTGTATTTGGTATATGTGAAGTTCAGGTAATGAGATTGTTAGGCATCTTTACTCGGTATTTTTAAGTGATTGCAAGATAGCTGCAGTTTGACGTAAAAATTCCTGGTAGTAATGATAATTGGGAAAGTTAAGACACACTGGACAGATGCTTCCTTAGGGAAACTTCCACTACAGTTGCAGAAGTTTGCTGTCACCAATGCTCTGGCAAAAACACTGGAGCTGCTATAATTACTTTTCTTTGCTAGGACTGATGCTAATACCCCATGAACTGGTTATATCAGGAATCAAAGGCAGTGAACCTCCCTTAATCTCCCTTATAGATTTTTTTTTTAATACAAATGTCCAGGCCAGTCTAGGCCAAACAGTATTTTGAGTGTAAGCAAAAGATATTTTTATCTGGAGGTAAGAAATTGCTTTTTGTGGAATTACCTTTCTTCTTTCTTTCTTTTTTCTTCTTGTTTTCCCCATTCATTCATTCCTGTGCGCTTGCTTGCTTTCTAAAATCAGTGACTAAATAGTTCTGGTATGAAAGCTTAGTTTGGAAAAAAAACACTTGCCTTGAAAGCCTGCACATCTGCCTTAGATCTCTCAGGTGAAAGGACATTTGGTTTGAGTTTAATCTCAAGGCGGAATGAGAAGACCCAATGAGAAAAGCAGTCAGTCTTCTGACCTCCACATGTCTACCTAGACATGTGTACAGCTCCATATACATACTACTAACAACTAAAATTAGGATGTTAGAAATCTCCAAGGTATAAGGTTATGTAGTAGGAGAAAACAGGATTGTGAGGTGAAAGAACAATGATGGTAACTACTTAGTTCCCTAAAGAAGTATCTTTGAAAAATACTTTTCTATGAGTAGATTTTATTCTTACTGAACATTTAAGTATTCGAATGGTTCAGCATTCCAGTACCACTCAGTTACACTACAAGAACTTTAATGTTTTGAGAAATATTTTTGGCTGTATACAGTTGTATTTTATTTATTTTTTTATTAATTTTTTTATATTAATCACAGGTTATTTACTTTGTATCCCAGCCATAGCCCCCTCCTTAATTCCCTCCCAGTCTCACCGTCTCTCCCTCATCTCCTTCCTGCCCTTTTCCAAGTCCACTGCTAGGGGAGGTCCTCCTCCCCTTCCATTTGGCCCTAGCTTATCAGGTATCTTCAGGACTCACTGCCATGTCCTTCTCTATGGCCCAGCAGGGTTGCTTCTCTCTCGGAGATGGGGAAGAGGAGGTAGAGGACCCAGAGTAAGATGATCAATCCTCACTTAGAAAGACAAATGGGATGGACAGTGGAAGTAGGAGAAAACAAGTAACAGGACAGAAGCTTTGAGAATCTTTTATCTTTGCTCTACCTTTAGGAAGTTATAATGTCATGCTGTAGTAGTATGTACAATATACTATAAATGTAGTAGCGCATACATGCACATTTCTGTAGACTAGCTTTCTAATTAACATGACTCCTCATATTCTCTTCTGTTTGAACCTGTTGGCATTGGTGAAATCTTCTACCCTAGGATTGATAATACTTAATAACAGTAAAATTGTAAACACAAAAATTCATTTGCCTGCTTTACTGATTTACAGTATTTGCAATACTTCTAAATGTCTATAGATTAAAAGTTTGCCAATTTGAAAATAAATCCTTGTCTTTCTATGTGTTCCAAAGGAAAGTCAAAGTTTTCTAAATTTTCTTTAGAAGATATGCTCTGTTACATGTTATATTGCAACTTAGATGGTTTATAAAAATGTAGAAGAGCTAAGTATGTGTTTGTGTAAGTGTGTGCAAGTGTGTTTGTGGATGTATGTGTGTGTGATTCTTTGTGCGTAGGATACCTTTTCTTGCATAGATGGTAAAATGTTAATTCTCAAACACCTTTAATTGAATTCAGAGGAACAGATCTTTAATTCTAATTCCTGCATAGACTTAATTTTTGTATTTTCTAGTGAGCCAATAAGTGTATTGGGGGATTTACTTGGAACATGGGTAATGACTTACAATTTGTCTAGATTTCAGCTATTAAAACAAAGCAGGTCAATGGTCCTTTCCCTCTGTGGTCAGTCAAGGTAGGAAGTCTAAATCTACATGGGTTATCCTAACTATTATTACAAGAAATTATGCTTTTTCTAAAAATCACTACTGCTAATAATAAAAATAGTATTTTCCTTGGTTGATTTTTTTTAGATTATTGAGTGTTTGTAACTCATCCTTTGTGTGATTATAAAATAAGAGTGTTTTACAGCAATAAATAAAAATAAGTATATTCATTTAATTTATTATTGTCCTCTGAATACTGCTTATTTTATTTTATTTCCAGTAATTTGTACCTTCCATGCACTCTTGCATAACATGAGTCAGATTGTTACTTATAAATTGTATATCTTTAAATTGTTCTGTAAATGAAAATAACTATAGGTAGAGAATAACCTTTGCATAGGCTGTTTGTGATCAGGTATATTAGATTAGGAGTTTGGTTGTGGGGAGTCGGATAATAGAGAGCATTGTCTGCCGCATGTGGTGAGTTAATGGGTTGTGAACATCGTATTTACGTGTATTTGTCAGTTTGGGATACTTCATTTTTTATTGAATCATATTATGCAGTAATTGTATTAGCACATACACTTTTCCATTTCAGGTGTCCCATACTGTTTCAATCCTATTACAACAACATGGGATTCTTACATATACGTTTGTATTGCATTTGTACATCTCATCTCAAACAATGAAGAAATCAAATTCTGCTTTTCTTCCTGAATGCAATGATCTCTTGAGGTTCCTTGGGAGAAATTTGAACATTGGCCTCCAAAAACAAAAACAAAAACAAAAACAAAAACAAAAAAACAGAGCATGTTTTTTTTTTATCCTTTCTGAAATGTCCTTCTTCTTTTCTTTTTGAATTAGATCTTGAAAATTTTAAGACAAGAATGAGAAGCACAGTGTCAGTCCGTGAAGGCCAGGGGGTGGTACTTCTCTGCGGACCGCCACCACACTCGGGCGGTGAGTACAGTAACCCATCCTGCTTATCACAGGCATGAGGTTCCAATACAAGACCACATTCCATGCTCCATAACTCTTTCTTAGATTTACCCTGAGGAGCTGCATGATCAGCATGCCGTTCTCCTGGCTGAACTGGACCACCAGAGACAACAACTCTCAGCTGGGCTCTGTGGTTTTACCTCAGAGCATCTTGATTTACCTCAGCCGTTGGAGGGGTCATACAGTTCCCTCTTTGCCAGTAAAGCGCACTGATAAAAATAACTATGTATAAGTGTGCTGATGGTGTAGGTGAAGAAGGAAAGGCATCTCTTCAGGAAGACACATTAACCCTTATGATATGTGGAGTATTGTCAAGGGAGTAACACAGACAAAAGCATGGCTTTGTCAGTGCTTTGTTGTATAGGGAGATGCCCAGACCAGACCAGGCCAGACGGTCGGGTTTTTATGTAGAGGTTGTTCTTCTCACTGAGGAGATGTAGATCTCCTCGGTGCTGAGACATACTTCATACCCACTGTCCTGACTCATTGCTTGATATGTTACTGGATTATTGTCCATGGGCCATTCAGAAGCAGGATGTTAATTGTCACAGTCTGCAATCCTGCTGCTTTACCTGTTTTTCTCATTCTGCTCTTTGGCTTTCTTTCTAACCTAGCTCCTTTGCTTTGCCTTCACTAGAATGTATTTTAGCTCATCCAGCCAAAATATTGTGTCTCCACTGAGAGATCACCCCACTATCTACCCTATAGCTGAGCCTGAAGCAGTGTCTCCAAGGTATTCTTCACCCTGATTTATTTCATTGTTTTGTGTCCTTCCAGGTCTCTAACCAATTTGTATATTTTTATTGTCTCATAAAACACTTGTCTAAGTCCTAAGGCTGAAGTGGTACAGCCTTTAACGCTTCCCAAACTCTAAGAAATAAAAGGGACCGTGATTTTAATACATGGCTCCTAATCCCCTAGGTGTGATCTGAAAACAAACATAGGTTTGGTTTATGACTAATAATCAATTGAAAATGACTGAAGTGTTAAATATCATGACTGTAGGCATTTTTTAGCTAATTTATTGGGTGATTTAATTTCTATCATCCTTCTCCACCATTATCTCATCCAACCCCCAACACTAGGAAGGAGATAAAAAAGGTTGGAGCAGAAAGAAGATGCTGCGGACCTCTTTAAAATACTTCCTCCCAATTAGGGCTTTTGAGTCCTTTGGAGGAAAGTTTAATCTTTGTTGTTAGGGTATCTCTAACTCCTTCTTGTCACACTGCAGTAGCAGCAACCAGGAACATCAGGATGTCAGAGTATCAGGATAGAGGAGCAGCCACCATCTTCAGACCACCCCTATCTGTCTCTGGGCTCTAGCATTTATACCCTCTCCAGAGTACCTAGAATTAAACTATCTGCACCTGGCAAAAATCAGGCCCCTGCTAGTGCATGAGACAAATCATAATCATCTGCTGTGAAGCAGCCTGTTATCCCACACCTGGGCATTAAAAGAAAAACATATTCAAACAAAATAACTGGGTTTTTGAAGAAACTAGAACTCTTGCCAAACACGACAACCAAAATCAAATATCAAACCAAAACATGACAGCAACAGGAATGGATGCAAGTAGTCATTAGCTTAGTGTTTTTACTCCACAGGTTTTTTTTTTTTTAATGTCTCAAATCTCCATGAGCATGCACTCTTCAGTGAATCACAATGAAATAGAAATAGAAAGGCAGGAAAAGAAAAAAAGATCACTGGATTATGTGTATCGTGCATCCTTTCATCATAGACAGGTGTTACGTACCCCCAAAGAGCCTTGTCACAGCCACAATGCTGTCTCAAATCTTCTTTCAGAGAGTCCTGGAGGAGTCAGAGGGATCAAAAATATATAGACATTGCTCATTTTGTAATTTTTAGGTTATTGAATTAGACTTAGTGCCAAAGGTTTTTGTTTGCTTGCTTGAATTGCTCATGGCTTAGATCTTTCTAATGTTAGTATTATGATCAGAAGTTGATCTGTTATTTAGTGACAGCTAACAATTAGTTTAACTTCTTTGTTTTTGGTCCTTGATCATTCCTTGGATCTATTTCTCTTTATATTATTGGTCAGGGTCAAGTTGTATTAAAACCTATTGTTTGGATTCGAGATGCAGGTCAAGGGTAGACTGCTTGCTAACATGCAGAAGATACTAATACTAGCAGAATATTTTTCTTGTTTTCATGAAATAAATTCCTAATCTTTTTGTTTATTTGAATACATCAATAATGTTCTGCCAGGGACCATTCCCAGATGAGGTCAGGTCTGGAAGAAGGGTGATTGCAAAGCAGTGAGGGAGGACGAAGGCAGGCATGGGGATTGGGAGAAGTTTTGCATCCTAACTGACTGGCAGTCTGGGTACATTTATACAGAACTTAGTAGGCAGTGATAGATTCATGTTGTTCCAAAACATAGATCATATAATTTTTGTCCCTGGGCAAATTTTAACTTCCACTTGGTCATAAGTTTAATCATCATTGATAAATCATGACAGAACAGAATTATCTTTTACAATCATTTTTCCTGATCAACTCCACAACCCAACTTTTAACAAATAGTGTAGTTTTCTGGGTATATTTTGACAAAGTATAACAGCTGGTAGTTTTTGTGGTTTCAAGAGCACTAGACAGAAAGAAAAATCTCTAAGCAAGCCTGGGCAGATTGTTATGTCTCAAACAATGTATTATCAACTTTTAATAGTCAGAATGCTAACTATCATTAGGTCCAAGAAAAGTCTTCAGGCCAAAGTTGCTGCAGTTGTTATTCAGTTCTTGTTATGAGACAATGCTTATGTTTTATACGTTTGCAGAATGTATTTATCTGTCTAATCTTGCTATTTTTTGTTCCTTTGTTATATGAAACCACGGTGACCCTGTATGAGTTCACTTTTTCTAAGAAAAGAAGGTCTTAGTACTTCATTCTTTCATCATTTATCCACACCATTCTTTGTCCATCAATACTCTATTAGGAAGAGACTTTTAATCTGATCTGCTGCCAAGTTCTCTAGCCTACCAAATATTGTATACCTTTTTTAAATTAAATTTTTATTTTTTATATTAATTCCAGTTTATTTATTTTGTATCTTGGCTGAACCCCCTTCCCTCATTCCCTCCCAACCCCACCCACCCTCTCTTCCTCCTCTCCTCCCTGTCCCTTTTAAAATTTACTTTGTTCTTATTTCTTGCTCTTGAGTAAGTGCAGAACAGATAGTATCTTTGAGTCAGAGCATCATAAGGAGATCTCTGTCATATTTTCTAGAGTCACAATCTCCAGGTCATAAGGAAGAACTTCAAGTAGAGCCAGGTAGGAATATCTCCCTAAAAGCAGGAGGGGTAGTATGGTCAGGACACTCCTTAGGAAGCTTAGAAGCAGTTCTCCTTGGAGAGGGAGTAAATGATTAATTATAAAATTTCCATCAATCCAATATCCCCAAGTTGTACAATTAATAAAATTTACCTCAAGCATGTGACATGTAGAGATCAAGGCCAAAAGAGTGGGAGAATGCATCACAGCAATTGCATCATTCAGCTCAGTTTTGCTTGGTCTTTGTCAGGAAGCTGTGCTGGCTTAATGACTTTTGCTGTTCCTATTATATATGGCTTTGCTAGTGTTCTATCTAAATAGAGTCAGGAGATTAACTAACATATCTCATGGTAAGAATTCAGTAAGTTTTCTATACTTTAACTTGAGTCACTTTGAGAACAGTCATGCATTTATGTAATGCCATTGAAAGAATCTTCTCATATGGTTGGAGAGAATTACAAATTTATACTTTCTCTCCAGAGATCCATTGATCAGATGAATTGTTACCATAGGAGAAATTTCTTAATCTATCCTTTATTCTATCATGCCTTCTGCCATTTTTAGTTCATTGACTTTTTTTTTTTTTTTCAGAACAATCCAGGTTCTCTCTGATGAGATCAGAAGTAATGGCCTAAGTTATAATTAAAACAGTAAGATGATAAACCAGGAATAAGGTCCTCAATACAAATTTCTTGTAGAGTAATTATTAATCTAGTTTTCAATAATCTGAAATGCTGATAATTAGTGCGACTTTCATGTAGATGCTGGCATCATTAAATCATTAGGATCACAAATGCATGAGAAAAGTCATGCTACTCTAAGGTCACAAGACTAGTATCTAGACACCTCATAATAAAATACTAATTAAACAGAAATTCACAGGTTAATAAAATTATTCTACCTACATATTTTAATAAAGAGTTGTCTCGGCCCAGTGGTAAATGGTAAAATGTATTGAACATGGACACAATTCTCAAAATCTGTCCCGCGTGTTTCATAAGCAAACCAGTCTCTGCTGTACCTTGCCACACCTATGCTATGCACAGGCATTTGAACATTTCTTGCTGTACGGTGTCATCCTCCTCCAACAACATAGCCTTTGGGATGTGAAAGGGAGGGGGAGAAGTGTCAAGCAGCAGGTAGTAGAGGTTGAAGTAACTTTGCGCTAAAATTGCTGTGTAAATTGTTGGTGTGACCAAGGTGAGAACCGAAGCTGCTCAGCCAGATGGTGTGGGATTTACACCCTGTGGGGTTACATCTTTCTTTCTTTTTTTTTCTCCGAAGATGAATGGGCCGAAATGGGAAAGTCATCTCAGGTAGCTTAGATAGCAGCAAATAGAAATTTTCAGCTCTGTGTTATCTTGTTCAGTTCGTGGAGGTATTAGCAAGACAGGAAGGCCCAGTGGCTAGTGTGGAGGAATGCAAGATTCTAAACATGTTACCAAAATAATTTTACTTCATGCATGGTCCTTGGATGGAGTATCAGTCTCAGAAAAGACCCCTGTGCCCAGAATTTTTGGTTCTGTTTCTCTCCTTGTGGAGTTCCTGTCCCCTCTAGGTCTTTCTATCTTTCTGTATCCTCCTTCTTTCATTAGATTCCCTGCACTCTGCCCAAAGTTTGGCTATGAGTCTCAACATCTGCTTCCATACCCTGCTGGGTAGAGTCTTTCA